TTTGGTTTTATTTCTCATTATCCTGCTCTGACTTGCTTGGTAATAAATTAAATTTATTTCCCCAAGTCAACGCTGTTTTGCCCATGACAGTAACTGGTGAGTGATCTCTCCCTGCCCTTATCTCGACCCAGGAGCCTTCTGTTATATTTTCTCTCCCCTGTCCAGCTGAGGAGGGCAGTGACAGAGTGGCTTTGGGGGGCACCTGGCCTCCAGCCTGGGTCATCCCACCACAGAAGTACAGAAGGGAGAGCACTAGGTCTAGAAACAGTTTGAAGAGTTTCTGGTAAAAGGGTAATCACCTTCCTCTTGCTGTGCTGAAGACTGGTCAAAACTTGTGCAATATATGTATGATTCATATATAAGCATTCCTAGAAGGTGGTAATGCTCTTGTCCTCCATGTGTAAAGAATGTGAAGTCCTCTACCTTAAATTCATTGTGTTGTGTACACTGTCTCATGATGAAATCTGGAGTTTAAGTTAATATCGGTTTCAAGTGCACTTCTTGGAGAAATTATATCCTTACTTTTTAAATTGTGTTTCTCAGTGGTACAAGAGGCCAGACAGGTTTTATCTGCACATACTGTTTAGGAAATATTTTACTTCAAGTGAATCTGTTGGTACAATTTTAATTTAGCATTGCAGAGAAAGCTTGTACTCAGAAATACCTGCTTGGGTGTTTCTGTATGTATAATACTAGGAAGAGTTCACGATTGATTTATAACCAGCTATTTATTTGAAGAAAAAGAAAGATGGGATTAGAGTCATACTGTGTATACAATGTTTTATACCTGAAATAACTGGAGGTTCTTTATTTAGAATCAGAGTGTCAATGCTTCTCCTCCTTTTCTAAAAAAAAAAAATTTTTAAAAAAGTTGTTACTTTGGCTAGTACAGGTTGGAAATATTTCCATTTTGTCTGTGAAAAGCACTGCATTTTTGTGAAATGCAGAATAATAAAGGGTAAATGTGGCTTAACCTAAACCCTACATGGTAATTTAGTTTGTCTTTGCTTTAAATTAAAATTGGTGAAAGTCCACTCAAAGAGGATATTTGAAATGTGCTGTGATTTAACACATCAACAAATTTTGGGGTTCAGATATATTCCCTGTGCGTTGTTAAAAACTGCAGTGCATCTGATACCTCTTATGTTTTGGTATTAATTATTAAAGGCATGCATCCTAAGCTTATCCACTAGTAACTGTATTTGACTTCTCTAGCTTAAATTTGAGGCACTCTGGGTCCCCCAGTCTGCTCAGGGGTGAAACTTGCTTTTGAACGTGCTAAATGTGCCTTTTTTGATGGTTGCAAGAAAACTCTCCTTCCACTTCATCTGTGCAGTCTACCTGAAATTCGCTAGAGGTGGCTTGGGAAGGTCTGCAGGGGCCCCAGCCCTGTCCTGCTTGCTGCTGCCCGGCTGCCCAGTCTCTGCTGTCAAAACAGCCCATCAGCAGTGGCGGGCAGGCCGAGGGGGCGAGCAGCTGGAGAGGTGGCTGGCCGTCGGGTTCTGCCACGTGTCCCGGTACCCGGTTGGTGCTAGGACCCAGGGTAGGACCAGCAGCGACTCGGTGCTGTCACTTTGCTGCCTTCTATTTAAAGACTGCCCTGAGTCAGGAGAAGCGAGAGCTGCTGGGGATGACAGTTGCTTCAGGCAACCCTGGGGAGGACAGGGTCGGGGGTAAAAATCACCGGTGAGGGCCTGAGCTGGGAAGGGCATGGAGGGGTACCGTGTCGCTGAGTGCGACAGGGCGTCTGAGAGCTCGTCCTTCGTAGAGGATGAAGAAGAAGAAGAGGGAGAAGAGGAGGAGGAAGAAGAGGAGGAGGAGGAGCAGGCTGTGGGTCCCGAGGAAGCAGAGGAGCTGACTAACAGGTACTGCCTTCTCAGGGACTCGCAGCCTCGGGGCGAGCTGGCAGCTTCATCCCAAAGCACAAGTCAGGGGGGCGACAGGATTGGGGCCTGTTGCTGGCTTCGGTGCTTTTCCCCCTTCCCCAACTGCTGCAGATAAAAGGGGGGAGGGGGGCAGGGGGGACATGATGGATCGCACATGACAATGGGGGACGGGACTGTTAATTGGGGTGTTTTGTATGAGTATGGCTGTAATTAAGTTTTGTGCAGTGAGCGCCTGCCCCGAGTTCTCTGAAAGCTTTTCTATTTAAAGATCCTCTGGTGTGCCAGCACAAGTGGCATCTCCCTCTGCTCCTCCCTCTCTGGCTGCCTCTTTGTCACATATCAATCTCAAATGCTCTGCAGATTTCCTTGTCAGGGAGAAAATGGTCAAAGATTAAAATGGCACATTGAAATGCCTTCCTTTTTACAGCCCTTTCTCCCTTCCCGCTTGTCGCTTGCTCTTCAATCTCTTCTTCCCCCAAAAAGAAAAAAATTGTATATGCTTGCCACTGCCCGTCATGATTTCTGTGTCTGATTTTTGGGGTGCAATGGGGAATATTTTATCACTTTGATTTTTTTTTCCCCCCCTTAATAACTCTTGCACAGAAAGAGTTTGTTGTCCTAATACTGCACTCCTACCACCAGGAAAATTAACAAACGTGACAGTGGCCTGACGCCCAGCACGTGGCCCTGGTCCTGCGCAGGATGCGGAGGCGTCCGCAACCCGGTCCATGTGGACAGACTCCTCCGTGCAGCCATGCTAGTGCTCGTGGTGGCAAAAAGAGACCATGAGGCCAGAGTGTCCCGCGGTGCATATCGGGTCACCAGATTTCCTCCTTGGCTTGAGTAAAGCCTATCAGTTTTGGGTGGATACCGTAGGAAGAACCGAAGGCAATGATGTTGACAGTTTAAGGGATTTCCAGAAACCAGGTTTTTAAGAAATTTGGGTCGTATCCTTCCTAAAACCTCAGTGCTGTGGAGCCATCCTGCGTTGACAAAGTGTTTTCTAACATTGCTGATGGACAGTTGAAGAGAAAAAGACAGCAAAGGAGAAGTGGGTAGGCTCTGTGCAGCCTAACCCATGCTGATGCTACGGCAACGAAAGTCAAACAGGGAAATGTAGCCCAGGACCATAGGAAAACAACCTTGCAGAGTGAATAGAGAACTGGTTTTACAAAGAAATGGGGGGACAGGACACCCCCAGTGTGTAACATTGCTTTTCTCCAGAGGGAGATGTTGACTCTTCAGTCCTGTACGGGCAGAGAGAGGGGTTATGTGCTGATAAATGTCGCTTGCACATGGGTGCAACCCTATGAGAAAACCAGCAGAAGTCAGTGTAGGGGAGCTACTCAGTGCAGACAGATAAACCACAACTGACTATTTTTTTAAAGCAATCTGCAATTAAATGGCTAATAAATAAATAAAACTCAAATTGTAAAACATAAGTGGGAATGGTTAACTTTTCCCTTAAAGGGAGGGAAATGTATGTAGCCTTGCAGTTAATTTACTGCTTGCTCTGGGAGAATGGCTTCTCCATGGGTGCCTGTTCGCGGCTCCCAACAGCTGGGTCTTGCTTCTGGCTGGCAGGCTCTGCAACGGAAAGGCGGGCATTGCATCTCACCACTTAATTAAATCACAGCAACCATTCCCTTTAGCTCTCGGTTATATTAAGAATTGCAGAATTCATCTCTATCCTTAACTGTCTTACTAATAAGAAAGGTCAGAGTCTACTGTAGAGGCTTTTTAACAGCTGTGCTCAGTGGTAACTGAGTATATTTTAATCCATTTGATTAGTTTAATTAGGCTAAAGGAGATGTTAAATTTGGGGTTTGGCGCAGATGGTAACTGCACCAAACACCCAGCAATAGTTTAGTGAAGTTAAATAAAACTGATTCCTTAACTAATTAAATTTTGTTGTTGAAAATGTCAGCGTGGTTGTTGAGCTTATGGCCTTCTCTGCCCAGGCACTCAGCACAGGAGCTCTTGGGAGGTGCTGGCTAAGCTAGAACAGCCGGGCTGAGCCCCTGAGATGTTCTTACTGAGGCTGTAAGCTAATTATTTGTTGACAAACAGGTTTTCAAGCCCGCTGCAGAACAGATTTGTGTGTGTGTGTGCTTTGAAAACGTAGCTTAGAGGAGATGTAACCAATATGCAAACCTGGCTGTAGACAGCATGTCCTGGGCCCTTCCGTCATTGATTTATTTTTAACAACGCCAAGCTCTCTGCTGGTTTTGTTTTCCTCCTCTGCATGCGGTTGAACAGCACTAGGTTGTGCAACATTGCAGTCAGCAAGAAGTTACCCATTGGTTCGTATTTCCACCTTTCAAGCATGCTAAATATCATTATTCCTATTTTATAAGCCAGTTAGGCAGCAAGATGTCTGGGCCAAGGTCAGCAGGTGCCTGTGTGACAGGAGCAGAAGAGCCCTGGTGTTTCCCTGGGACACTAACTCCTGAGCCCTGACGGACCTGCTCCGCTTCCACACTGGTTCCTCTGCAGCAGCCTCAGGGAGTAAAAATCTCGAAAGCTGCAGCAGAGCTTACAACTTGCCCCAAAACTATAATGCATGCACATAAAAAGCAGAAAAGTTCAGGTTTCATATCTTTATTACCCTTTTTGATGCAAACTTTAAATAATTTGGTTTCCTAACGTAAGTTTTTATGCAAGTACTGAGACTAACACAGGGCATCAGAACCTATTGTAAAGATGTGATACGGTATCATGTCCTTGCCAGCGTAAATAACCCACTGATTTTCAGAGGGTTCATGCAGTATTTTCTTATCATTGGGCATTTTACTGTCTGACATAGGCAGATTGTGGCAGATGTCTTTTGTTTCTAGCTCCATGTAGAATTAATCATCTAAATGGGGAAAATATTTTGAAAGCATGCATTGTGTGTTTTAAGGCAAACATGAGTATGAAGTTAATAGGTTTTAATTTTTGTATTGATAACAGTGAGATTAAAGTCTAGCTATAGGAAGATAGTTTACTGGTTAACTGGTTTATGTACCCACTGGAATATCCGAGTCTCTAACAAATATGTGATGGGTGAGCTGCTCTGACACGGTTCTGTCTCTTGGACTGTTCCCAGCTGATTTCCTTTTGCAGTGGGAAGGTCTCTGGATGTGTCTGTGTGTCGTTACATAAAAATGGCTCTGCAGCCAATTTAGATGTGTTTCCAGGTAGCTGGTTTGCCTGGAGTGGGTATGGGGCTGATGTTATCTATTGATTTAGTGATAGTCTAAGACCATAAATGGGGAGAAGGTCCTGGATTTCTGGATTTTTTATTTTTTTTTTAATGAAGCAGTCCTTCCACAAGATCAGAGGTGTGGAAGCTTCAGAGCCAAGTCTAGCTTAGGATGAGTGGTGAAAGCAATGAAAGGGGAAGCAAAGTGGAGAAGGGAGCTGCCTGCCACGTGGGGGATGCTGCAGTATCCAGGAAAGCAAGAGAGTGGAATAATGGCAAATGGGAGGGTGGGAAGGAGAGCACTGGGGATTTGTCTTCCCAAGGAAAAGTTTGATTTTTAGTTTCCTAGATGAGGCAGTGCCTGCCTGGGGCTGGGGTGGAAGGGGCTGGCAGGGCTGTTTGTCCATCGCTGGCTGCAGGCGTACGCGTGGGGAAGGCGAGAGCATCGGGAAGTGGAGGCTTTCCAGTGCTCTGCACGGCACGGCAGAGGCTCGAGCTACCGGGCACTGGGACCAGCTGAATGGGGTGAAGTGTCAAGGCATTGCAGTGGGGAGAGGTGCAGCTGGCAAACTGGGAAATACACTTCACTCCATGTTTTTTTCAGCCTTTTAGATAATATTAACTGAGTCCTTGCTAAAGGCCTAGATTGCAGGTTGGATTTAAAATAGCACTTGGACTTTGAGAAGTTCACCGTTAGGTCTCAACAAAGTGATTAAATCACTGTGTAAAGGAAGTTTCCCACCCAGATCTGTTCCCTCCACGACCTGTACAGTGGAGAAGGCAGAATGCAGGAGGAAGGCAGGCCTCCAGGGATGCTGCAGTTTCTCAAAGCAGCACATGAAGCTGTGACTGGCAATGCCACCAGGCCATGCCATGACCTAACATCTGGAAAAGAGACCAGCACCGCAGCCAGTTGTGTCACTTCCCAGGTGTTTGCAAGCATCAAGGATGGAAGAAAATGTCTGAGACTGGCCCAACTCCTGGTTCCCAGCTACTTTTAATAAAAACCAGCTTTGTAGCAGCCCAAGCATCAGTCTTACTGCTCTTAGATAATTATTTGTTTTAATTTGGACAGATGCATGAGCCCCTGAATTGCCAGAAGGGGCATCCTTAACACTGAAAGAAGTTGGCAGCAGGTTAACAAGTGAAAGGCTGGGTTTAAAATAGTGACTTTCTTTAGCTCCTAATTCTCTTACCCTGAAGAAGGAGATGGATGAGCTATAGCCCTAGGAAATGCAGAGCCATAGGCAGAGACCTCACTGAGCCATACCGCTTGCTGCAGGGGAAAGGGGCAGCATGGTAAAGGCAGAAACAACAGGAAGGTACAGAACAAAAACCACAAACACAGAAAACCAAAATATATCCTTCAACTGGGAAGACAATCTGGCCAGTACCAATTTCCACCTGCCCTGCAGTGTGCCTGCAGAGTTCAAGTAAGAGCCTTTTGGGGATGAGAGGTCTTGTCAGTACAGGCCATCACGACAGCTTGACATCTCGGTCATTTTATCTGGGTTGTTTTCAGCTAGCAAGGGGTTATGCAGCAAACAGCAACAAGTTTTGATGATACCAGAGTGACAAGGACTGATGTGAAGCACATGAAGGGAGGCTCTGGAGGATTTTAGAATGCTGATGGTCTAGCTATGCTTCTCTGTGACAGTGGTGGTGTAGCACAGATGGATGGACCTCACTCAGCATGTCTTGAACACGACTGCTCCAGCAGCTGTGGAGGTGAAAACTGTTCCCTGGAACGATACGTAAGGGAATGTGTGCCCAGCTTGCCGGGCTGCACTAGAAACCTGAAATCCCAGTGGACACAGGACGGAAGTCATGGTGAGAAGCAGAGGAATGTGAGAAGCTGGAAGAGGTGATAAGAAAAATCTTGTTTTGAGCTATTATGACAGGAAGCATAAAATAATTTGTCAGTGTCTTCAAGAATTATAAAAGGTTTGAGCCAATATCCTAGCATGAAAGTAACAGACTGACAGCATGGGTGCTGACAGGATTGTGTGTGAAATGTCTACGTGGAAAAAAGGCAACACTGGCTTTCCTCCCTGGATGTCAATGACTTCATATCTGCATTTATGGAGCTGAAATGTCGTGAATATCTTTTTGTAATGGCAGACACTTCCTCTGACTAGAGAGAGGTCTTTCAGCTGTACTGTGCAGTGTGCAAATTGTTTGTAAAACTAGGGCGGCATGTGGAAGTATATTGGGAGAAAATGCATGAATTATGTGTCTTTCATTCTGGTCTTACAAATATAAAGCACCACCTCATTGCACTGTAGAGGAATATGGACTGTGACTGTGACCTTGGAAATGAGACAATGATGTGAATAATTCAAGCCTTTTGTATAGGCAGGGCCAGGGCAGCCCATTCTTATTCACTAATAACAGCTGAAGTGGCAGTTCTGTTCTACAAGGGGTTTTATTGACTAACACCAGGTAGTGCAGAAAAGTAGGTTAAAAAATATATGAGGGTTATTTAGAACTTGAAAAATCTTAAAAAAAAAAAAAAAAAATTAGGCATCTGTTATTGTGGACTTGAATAACACCTGAATGTTTCCTCAGTACTATTGCTATTGATTTATTTTATTTTGTTTATTTTATTTTACTTTGCTATGCTAAGGTCAACCTAATGCTAAGCTATGAAACTGGCAAAGGAAAAGCTAACAGCAAAGTTGGTATAGATTTATTTACTTTGCCTTTCCCTCAAACCTTTAAATCTTACCTTAGGAAGCTAGCCTTGCTAGAGAGTACTACACCAAGGCAGATAATCAGCTGTACGTGCTGAGGTTTTGTATTTGAGTGCTGGTTTGGGGGAGGTTTTTTTGGCTAAGATTAGAATTGCCCTGTCAGAGTGACAGAGACTTCACCACTTCTGCTCTACTGAAGCCTTTGCCAGCAAAACTCTGCCTTTCTTTCTATCAGCTACCAACATGATTTCCCTAAATGAACTACTGTCTACTCAAGAAATATGGGGATTGAGTGTTATGATTACCTTTTCTATGCTTTTTTTGAAATAACTATTGTAACCCTAAAAATATTTTCAAAAAATATTATGTTTTTTAATTGCTTCTGCTATTCTTTACACTCTTATTTCTAAGACTTTTTTTTTCTTAAGCTTCCTAGAAAACATTTCTCCAGACTTTTTTTTTTTCTTTTAACTGAGAGAGATTGAAACCTTGTTTAATGCAAAGTTTAAATTATACTGTAAGATAACCACGCACTGGAGAATAGCCCCAGAATCAGCTCCATCTCACACTGGCAAAACAAGGTCAAATCAAAGACTGTTTTTCCTGCACTGTCAAGAGCATGTAAACACCTCCCCTTCATTTAACTAACCTTGCAACACGCAGCTTTACAAAAATTCATCTAAAATACATTTATCAGATTATATGTGACTTTGCTTATGCTCATGTTTCAAAATTTATACACAATGTTGAAAAGTATGTTTGCTTTAATGCAAAAATTTAGATTTGAAATAATTTAATTTGTTGTGTGATTTTATGGCTTTTTGTTCTCTCTCTTTCTTTATTTTTTTGTTCTTAGTTTAAAAGATCTTATCCAAAGTGAAGATGTGAAACCCAAGCTGCAGTACATCATGACTAACCCTTCCTTTTCTATGGTAACAGTTCAAAGTGAAGATAGTGGGATAACCTGGGAAACCAGCTCAAGCAGATCTTCTACTCCCTGGGCCTCAGAAACTAGTACAACTTCTGATCTTTACAGTATGGAAAGTTCACCAGTAGGTTCTCCTCCAGGAAAAGTTATCTTTATTATGGATGAAGGTAAGATTGTTCGGAAAAGGAAGCGTAAATCTTCAAATAGGGTGCCGATGGCTACAAACCTGAAGGGAGGCCAGGGCAGTAAGAAACGTGACTCTTCTGGAATGCAGAGGCAGGAACCAAGAACTGTTCTAGGAGATGTGCAGGGCTCTGTGTTGAACGTTGAACAGGTGGAAGCACAAGACACAGATGAGGAAATGTTGGACGACAAAGATGATCTAGAGAACATTGCAGAGGAGCCAGTAAAACGTGCTCCGATAAGGTCAATATTTAGAGAAAGCAGACTGAGAAAAGTAGGGCCGATCCTTGGAGGACCAGTACAAGCTAGAATCCAGCTGTTCAACTCAATTTTGGGGGGGACTGAGCCAACCCCTGAAATATTGGAAAAAAACAGAATCCAGCGAAGTAGCTCCGTTTCAGGAGATTCTGAAGAGTTCCTTGAAACACCAGTCAAAGAAAGATTGCAGAAGTTCAGATCACTTCCAGGAGCAACACTTCCAAAAACCTTCCAGAGAGCAAGAAGTAAACATCTTGAAACACCATCGGAGAGGAGAAGGGAGCAAAGACAGCAACCCACAGCACATGCAAATCAAAGCTATTCTTCACTAACAACACCTCTTGAAAAACGCCTTACTATTAAAGATGATGTTTCATCTGAAAATATTAAACCCATTAAAATGAAAGATAAACCAAGCAGATTTTTGAGCTTTGGTGCAGAAACAGCTTTTCAACATGAAGAAAGAAAAGATAGACAACCTCTTTTGGAGATTCCAAATCAAATATCAGGACAGTCACTGAAGTGCTGCCCTTCTGAAGAAGCCAAGAAGCAGCAAAGTTATTCACTTGTGGCCAAGACATCAATAGAGGAGCAATCAACCTCCATTTCATTAGAGTCTGATGCTACATCAGAGAAACAAGTGCCGCTTCCTTCATCTGAAATTGCAAACAAGAACCCAGACAAATCCCCGCTGACAGCGTCAGATCTTCTGGATGAACCACTGGAGCAGGAAATTCAGCCCAATTCTGCACTAGAGTCTGTTTCAGCAGATTTTTGTGAGGAATTAGGTAGACGAAGTACCCAACCTATCTTGCCTACAGCATCCATATCAGAACATCCTGAGAGGGAAGCACAAAAGTCAGCAGTTCAGTCTTACTTACCTAGTGCTCCATCAGCTAAATCCAAATATTCCACTCTATCTGACACAAGACAAGAGGATATTATTCCTCAGTCATCAGAAACTGCACAATCTGAGTCTGAACACATGCTATTACCACATTCTGTAGAGGAAACAAAGAAGCAAGAAATTGAGTGTCATTCATCAACAACTGCACAGTCAGAAACTGAGCATTCAGATCTATTGTATTCTGTTAAAAAAACAGAGAGTCAAAAGACCCCACCACCAGAAACCCAAAATGTTCACTTAAAGAAACAAACAGAAACTGAGGAGCAAGGAATTAAACTAAACTTACCTATTCCTGAGAAGATAGATTCTAAATATTTTGGCATATCATATCCTATTCACACAGAAACACAAGAAACTCGGAAAACTTCAGCTGTAAATAAAGTAGAGTTGTATCACCCTGATTTTTCCATTGAAAAAACCAAACAAGTAGAGAGTGCAAAAATGGAGATGGAGCATGGAGATTTCTCATATTCCAGCAAAGAAACTGAGGAATCGGAGGGAACACAGATAGAGACAGAGCATCCAGACTTCTCTTTTTCCAGGGGAGAAATGGAGGACTCTGAAAGTGCCCTACTGCAGATGGAACATCCAGATTTCTCATATTCCAAGGAAGAAACAGAAGAATCAGAGAGTGCACAGCTGGAGATGGCACACCCAGACTTTTCTTCTTCGAGGGAAGAAATGGACGAATCGGAGAGTGCACAGCTGGAGACAGAGCACCCAGATTTCTCATACTCCAGAGGAGAAACAGAGGAATCAGAGAGTGCAAAACTGGAGACAAATTATCCAGAATTGTTTTTTTCCACAAAAGAAACGGAGGCATTGGAGAGCGCTCAACTGCAGACGGAACATCCAGATTTCTCATATTGCAAGGTAGAAAGAGAGGAATTGGGGAGTGCACAACTGGAGACAGAGCATCCAGATTTATTTTCCAAGGAAGAAACAGAAGAATCAGAGAGTGCACAGCTGGAGATGACGCATCCAGACTTTTCTTTTTCCAGGGAAGAAACAAAGGAATCGGAGAGTGCCCAACTGGAGACAGAGCACCCAGATTTCTCATACTCCAGAGGAGAAGTGGTAGAATTGGAGAGTGTACAGTTGGAGATGGAGCATCCAGATTTCTCATATCCCAGCAAAGAAATTAAGGAATCAGAGGGAACGAAGATGGAAACAGAGCATCCAGACTTCTCTTTTTCTGAGGAAGAAACAGAGGCATTGGAGAGTGCCCAACTGGAGGCAGAAGAATCAGAGAGTGCACAGCTGGAGATGGCACACCCAGACTTTTCTTCTTCGAGGGAAGAAATGGACGAATCGGAGAGTGCACAGCTGGAGACAGAGCACCCAGATTTCTCATACTCCAGAGGAGAAGTGGTAGAATTGGAGAGTGTACAGTTGGAGATGGAGCATCCAGATTTCTCATATCCCAGCAAAGAAATTAAGGAATCAGAGGGAACGAAGATGGAAACAGAGCATCCAGACTTCTCTTTTTCTGAGGAAGAAACAGAGGCATTGGAGAGTGCCCAACTGGAGGCAGAGCACCCAGATTTCTCATACTCCAGAGGAGAAACAGAGGAATCAGAGTGCGCAAAACTGGAGACAAATTATCCAGAATTGTTTTTTTCCACAAAAGAAACGGAGGCATTGGAGAGCGCTCAACTGCAGACGGAACATCCAGATTTCTCATATTGCAAGGTAGAAAGAGAGGAATTGGGGAGTGCACAACTGGAGACAGAGCATCCAGATTTATTTTCCAAGGAAGAAACAGAAGAATCAGAGAGTGCACAGCTGGAGATGACGCATCCAGACTTTTCTTTTTCCAGGGAAGAAACAAAGGAATCGGAGAGTGCCCAACTGGAGACAGAGCACCCAGATTTCTCATACTCCAGAGGAGAAGTGGTAGAATTGGAGAGTGCCCAACTGGAGACAGAGCACCCAGACTGCTCATACTCCAGAGGAGAAGTGGTAGAATCAAAGATGGCACAGCTGGAGATGGAGCATCCAGACTTTTCTTTTTCCAGGGAAGAAACAGAGGTATCAGAAAATGTGCAGCTGGAAACAGAACGTCAGGAGTTTTTATTTTCCAGGGAAGAAACAGAGAAAGAAAAATCTGTTCCTTTTGAACTGGAACGACCAGTGTCTTACTCCCCTGAAGAAGCAGAGCAAGAAGAAACAGCACAGCTTGCACTGGTACCTTCAGATTTCTCATGTTTTATGGAAGAAGCAGGTAAAGAAAACACTGCAGAACTCCAGTTGGAACATACAGATATATCTGATTCCATCAGAAGAGCTGAGACACAGCAAACTGGGTATCTAGAAACAGCACATTCAGATTTACCGTATCTCACAAATAAAACAACGCAGCAAGAATTGGCACAAGTAGATGTGAACAATTCTCTTATGTCACATTTTGGTGACAAAAGAGAACAGCCACAACCTGTGCAGCAGGATTCACAACCTGGAGGTAAGCTGTATTCCCATGCCAAGGGAGTGCGAGGAGAAACCACTCAACTGCAGTCAGAGCATCCAGTTTTGTCATATTCTGCTGGAAAAGAAGAGCAACATAAACCCTCACAGCTGAGGACAGAAGAGACAGAGATGACATATTCCACTGGCAAAACAGAACAACAGGAAATATTGCAACCTGAGTTGGAGCAAGCAGATTTGCCGTATTCCCATGGAGAAACAGCACAAGCAGCTGTACAAAAAGAAGGTCCAGAGCCATCATGTTTCATTAGTGAAGCAGAGCAACATGAAAATGTACAACTAGCTTCAGAAAATAGGGATTTCTCATTTACCACTGGAGATATAATGCAAGAAGGGGTGGAGTCAGGATCTTTGAGCTCCTCACATTTGACTGACAGAGCAAAGACCTGGGAAATGGCACAAGTGGAGCAGGAGCAGTCACTTCCCTCCTGTTCCACTGCTGGTAGTCAGGAACAGGAAACCACACCACTGGATGTGGCCCAGCCAGATTTTTCATATTCCTTTTGCAGAATGGAACAAAATATAGTACAGGAAGAAGTAGGACAGCAGAAAACAGCTCAACAAAAAGCTATGAAAACGGAGTATTTGGGTTTGTCAGAAACCTGGGTGAAAGAAGAGCCACAGGTCACAGACCAAATTAATTTGGCACAGCAAGAAACAGCTCAAACAGGGTTAGAGCATTCATCTTTACCATATTCTCTCAGTGAACAAATGCAAGAAGAAATGCAAACGGAACCAGCACATCCAGAACAGACATTCTATGTAAGCACAGAAATGCAGGAGGAAATGACACAACAAAAATCAGTTCAACCGTTACTCTCAAGTTTTACTGGCAAAACAGAGCAACGAGAAATAGTACATCTAGAGCTGGAGCAAACATTTTTGCCATCTTCCACTGGAAAAGAAGCTCCACTGGAAATGGAAGTGAGTTCAGAATATCCAGATTTGTCATATTCCTTTCACGAAGCTGAACAACAAAAAATGTTGAAACATCCAACCTTACCATTTCATTTGAAGCAACAAGAAACTGCACCACTGGTAATGGAACATCCAGATTTTTCATGTGACAGTGGTGAAGCAAAACCAGGTGACACTGTACAGCAGGAGCCAGAACATCCAGAGCTCTCATACTCCATGGGAGAAACACAAGGACAATCAAAACATTTGGAATCACCAAGAACCCTGAGTGAAGCAGCGCAGGATGAAAGTATGCAAGTGGAATCTAAATACTCAAATTTGACATGTTCTGATGGCCAAAAAACCCAGCAAGAAACTTCACAATTGAATTCAAAATATCCAAATTTATCATTTTCCTTTGGTAAAGCCGAAGAACAAGGAACTCAAGAGTTTGAGTCTAAATATCAAGAATTGCCTAAACTGGCCAGAAAAAGAGCTTCTCCAGCAACTGCACAAATGGAGTCAAAACTTCCAGATTTGACATATTCCCTTGGCAAAGCAAGTGAGCCAGAAATTGCACAATGGGAAATGAAGCATCCTGATTTATCACGTTGCACTGATGAGACAAACGAACAAGAAGTAGTAGTGTTGGATCAGAAAAACAGAAAAATTTCTGTTGGCAGAGAAAAACAGCAGTTAAAGCAAGAAAAGTTATCACATTCTCCTGGTAAAACAGAGCAATTAAAACATGCCCAGAAGGACTTGGAACAACCAGATTTATCATTTTCCATTGACAGGCCAGATGATGAAACGGCCCCACCAGAGACAGGGCACGCTGATGTGACATATCCTCTGGACAACACAGAGGTGCAACAGAGAGTACAACGAAAATCAGAGCAAACAGGTTTCACTTGCCCCTTTGGAAAAGCAGAACAGAAAACAGTTCAGCCAGAAGCTGAAATTCCATGTTTAGCCCATTCTGTGGGTATGGCAGAAGAAGAAGAAATGGCAGAAAAAGGGCAGGAACATCCTGACTTGCCTTATTCCACTTTGAAAGCAGGACAACTGCAGACTGCACAGCTGAAACCTGAACACCCTGGTCCAGCATGGTCCTTCAGCAAAGTGCAAGAAACGACCCAGCTGGGGTTGGAACAGCCAGATGTGTTGTATTTTCATGACAAAACAGAGCAGCCCCCACCTGCCCAGCTGGAACTGGGCCACACAGACTTAGCATCCCCCGCTGACAAAGTGGGGCAGCAAGGGATGGAGCATACAGCCATGGAACACTCCGATGAGGGACAGCCTGTCAGCAGAGCCGAGCATCCACAAGCTGCAAAAGAGAAAGTACGGGCTCCAGATACATCATCTCATAGTGGAAAAGCAGAGCAAAGAGAAATGGCAAAACCAGAGCCAAAGCATCCTGGTATATTGTATTCCATTGATAAAACACAGACACAAGAAACTACACAAGTGAGGTTAGGAAAACCAGTTCTATCATCTTGGCCTGGCAAAACAGAACAAGCACAAACTGGTCAAAAGGAGCAACCAGGCTTCCTGTATTCCTTTAAAAAAGCTGCGCAAGGAGAGAAAGTACAGCTAGAATTGGGACACTCACAGTTACCTTACTCTGTTACTGAGGCAGAACAAGAAACTGCACATGCAAAATTGAATCATTCAGGTTTATCTACTGGCAGGTTAGAACACCATGAAATCATACAACCAGAGGCAGAACTAATGGATTTATCATGTCCAATTGGTGAAACACAGCAATCTCAAATGGCTGAAGTAGATTTGGATTATCCAGATTTCTGGCATTCCACTGACACAATGCAGCGACAAGAAAATATTCAACCAGAGCAGAACCAGCCAGGTGATTTTTCATCATCTCTCAGCAAAGAAGAGCAATGGGAAGGTGCAGAAATGCAGGCAGAACACCCTGAGCTGCAGTCCTCTATGGGGAAAGCAGAAGGAATGCAAAATTCCCAAGCAAAATCAGAATATACAGATTTGTTGTTCTTTGACAGAGCAGAACCTCATGAAACAACACAGCCAGAGTTTAAAGAACATGATTTGTTCCACTCTTTTGTCAAAACAAAGCCATCATGTGCTGCCCCACTGGAGTCTGAACATCCAGATGTCCCAGATGCCATGGGCAAAGTACCGCACCCTGATTTGTCCTCTTTTGCTAGTGAGGAAAAGCAAAGTGCACAGCTGGAGATCAAACAGGAGAGGGGAAGCTATACATTACACCCAGAGGAAACAGTACGACTGAAACTGGAACAGCCAATGTTGTCGAGTTCTCATGGCACAGCACAGCAACCAAATAGGGCCCCACTGGAAGGGGAATTCCCAGACTTCCTGTATTCCTCTGGCAACAAAGATCAACAAGAAATGGCAAAACAAGAATTGGAGCATTCAGATTTATCATATTCCATTGATAAAACACAGCAAGCAGAAACCACCAAACTTGGGTTAGGACAACCAGATTTATCATCTTGCCCTGGGAAGACAGAGGAACCACAATCTGTTCAAATGGAAGCAGAGCATCAGGACTTGGTGCATTTCACTGGCAAAACAGAATGGCGAAGAACAGCACAACCAGAGGTTGAGCATCCAGATTTGTCTTATTCCAGTGACAAAGCAGAGCAGCCACTGATTACAGAACAGAAATCAGAGCAGCCTGTAACACCCCATTCCATTGGAAAAACAGAGCGACAACGAATGGCACGTCCAGAGCGGGAACTTCCTCATTTATCATATTCCATTTGCAAAACACTGTCACAAGAAGCAACACAAATGGACTTAGGGCAACAAGATTTAACGTATGCCCTTGGAAAAACAGTTGAAATGCAAACTGTGCAAGGTGAACTGGAAAATACAGGTTTGTTGTATTCTTCTGGCAAAAGAGAACAAGAAATGGTATTGCCAGAGCTGCAACATCCACAGCTATCTTACCCTGTTAGAGAAATAGAAGAAAAAGCTACGCATCAGAAATCAAACTATCCAGATTTGTCATATTCTACTGGACGACAAGAGTGCCATGAAATTGAACAACCAGAGGTGGAAGAAATGGATTTATCCTATCCAGCTGGCAAATCAGAGCGCTCACAACCAGCCCAAAAAGTACTGCAACAGCCAGATCTTTTGGAGTCCTTTGATGAACTAGAGGGAAAAAGAATGACCCAGCCTGGCTTTTTGCACTCCCTTGGTAAAGAAAAGCAGAAACCAGCTTCATCGGTAGACTTAGTGCAACCCAATTTATCACATTCACTTGGCAAAACAGAAAAACAGGAAACTGCACAAACAGGGTTCGTGTCTTCTGATTTTTCATATTCCACAGGAAAATCAGAGCAGTTGCAAATGGAACAAGTAAAATCAAAACGTCCAGATTTCTCATATTCTCTTGGCAAAGCAGAGACTTGTGGAATGAAACCGCCAGATTTATTGTACTCCAATGGCAAAGCAGAGCAACCACAGACTGCCCAGCTAGAGCATCCAGAGACATCATATTTCACGGGTGAAATGGAGCGAAGGGATGGGGACCAACCTGAACTGCAGTGCATTAATTTGCAGTACTCTGTTGTTGAAACAGAGCAACCAGAAACACCTTCTGTATCATATACCTTTGGCAAAACTGAGAAGCAGGGAACTGCACAACCAGACTTTGAACAATCAGGTTTATTAAGTCCTACTGACAAGGCAGAAGAGCATGAAACAGCCCTGCTGAGAGCAGGGCTTTCAGAGAAGCGAGACACTGGGGCTACTTCATCTCTAAGTGCTCAGTTGGAAACTAAGCAACAAGATTTATCCTTTGCCACTAAGAAAGCAGAAGGCCAACCATATTCATCTCTTACTGAACAAACAGTGTCTGTACCTTTGGTTATTTCACATTCTGTCTCTGAAATAAAACCAGAAGGAAGTCCAGAGTCTTTACCTGTAACTGCAGGCCTGTCCTCCAAGCACTTAGATTTATCTTACACCCACTGTAAAACAGAGCAGACAGAAACTGCCCAGCCTGCATCAGGTTTCTTTTTTGCAAGAAAACAAGCAGAGAACACAAAAATTCATCCGCATTTGCCTGTCTCTGCACAAACAGAGACTGACCATGTAATTTTACCTGAAACAGAGAGAGAACAGACTGCGCATTACTTCCACACAGCTACACAATTAGAATCTGAACAATTAAATTTATCATATTCTACAGATAAAGCAGAAACTCTAGAAAGTCAAGATTATTTAACTGTATCTTCAAAACTGGAGTCTGAACCTTCAGTTCCATTTTATTCACCTGATGAAACATGTCAGCAAGAAATTCCACTTTATTCAAAACCAGCCTCTGAGTATTTGGTTCCCACATGGTCCCTTGCTGAACAAGAAAAGCAAAGCATGCAGCCACTTATTCCCCAGTCTGCACAATCAGAGTGTGAACATGTAATTCCACCACATGATGAAAAAGAAGTGCAGAACATTCAGCTCTATTCATCTAAATCAGCAAGTTTGAAAACAGTGCAGTTGGAGAGTATGTCTCTAATGCGCACACAAGACCATGATAAGCAAGAATCTCAAGATCATTTGCTGGACACAAAATATTTGTCATCAGAGCAGCTAAGAAGTGCCCCCAAATTCACTGCTGAGCACGATAAGCGAGAAATACAACCTAATGTGCAGACAATGCCAAGGTTGGAGACCGCAGAGTCAAAGGTGGCTGGTGTAGCAGAGCAGCAAGCAGTGTCATCAGATTCATTTGTACCTTTTGATACATTACCTGAAAAGTCAGTATCAGTGCTTTTCAGTGATGATGAAGAGAAACAAAATATTCCATTATCTGTATCTGATGTAGTAGGCATGCTTGGAAAGCAACCTAGCATAATTTCAGGCATTTATACTGAAGAAGAGGATAGACATGAAATACAACCGTATTTTGCAGACCAAAAGCATACATCCTTAGAGCATCTGGGAGCTGTTTCATCAGATCTTGTTTATGAAACTCAGCATTATTCTGGTGAATGGGGTAGCCTTCCTTCAGCAGAGATGAAGTCCGTTAGCTCTAGTTCTGATGAAAAGCAGAATCCAGATATTTCATCTTTTGGGTTAGCTAGCTGGCTGGCAGAAGAGGTGAAAGCTCGTTCAATTAGTCCAATAAGAGCTACAGAAGTGGACAGGCAAGGAATTCAACTTTCTCCAAATGAAACTTCTGATTTTGGATCAAAACAATTCCCAGCTGGAAGTTGCACAGAACTTACAGTTCATGGTGCTACAAAGAATAAAGGACATATGTTTAGAGTTTCTGATTCACTGTCAAGTGAAACTTCCCACAGGGTGTCCTCAGAAACTAGTCACAGAGCACAAAGGTATGATTTACCATCTCTGGGAGGACATAATCCAGGTCCAGAAAAAGTTCCGAAGCATGAAACTAGGATTGGGAACCCTACAAAAATGGAAGCAATGCAACATCCAGAGGTAGACAAAGTGCCTGAAGGGCCTGAGCATTACCCGAGAGAAGAAGAGGAAGAAATGGAACATGTAAGCTCTGTAGAAGACAGTCAGCATGCTCCAGAGCCTACTGAACAAAAAGATCTATTTAATATAATTTCAGAAGGTTATGAAATACTCAATATTCATGCTCCTACACATATTTCTTCTGTTGATCAAGAAGAAAGTAAACACATGCCAGATAAACTAGAATACTTGGAAACAAATCCTTCATTTAAAAGAAAATTAGCTGACGATAGCCATAGAGCCCTAGCTTCTGGAACAACCACAGAAATTTCAGAAGGCTCTGTGTTGGAAAAGCCTGCAAGCCATGAACTAGAAGAATTGGTAAAAAATGATGATGTTGAGGAAAGTGGAGAAACACAAGAAAAAAATCCCATGTTGCCAGAAAACAATAATTCTGTGTTGGATCCTAATAATGGTATGGCTGATATGGATTATTTTGAAAAATATACATTGATTGATGACAAATCCACAATTAAGCCACATTTTGAAAGACCAAGTTCATTGTTTCCTGTGACAGAAGATCCCAATGAACCTGTGGAAGAAGCCACTTCTTTTAAAGAAAGTGCTGAGGTAGATACTTTGGAAGAGGAGTTTTCATTACTTGAGGATCTGGATGAAGTCTTTTATGGTGCTGTGAAAGGAGAAAGCAAAATGCAGATCTATGCAGATGCTCCAAACCCTTTACCTCTGCCAAAATCACTTGATATTAGCAGTAAAAAGGTTACAAATGTAGAAGATGAACGGAAGTCACCAGGGACCCCACTCTTTGATTCAGAAGAAGGAGTGCTAGAACGATCTCTGTTGTTTCCTACCACTGTTGCTGCAGTTAATCCAGAGCTTCTAGAGGAGCCACCTGCTCTGTCATTTTTATACAAGGACCTCTATGCAGAAGCAGTAGGAGAAAAAACAAAGGATGAGACTCCTTCTGATGAGGAAAGTGGTAATTCTAATGCATCTTTTCCTAGTAGAAATTCAGATACAGATGATGGAACAGGAATATATTTTGAAAAATACATTCTTAAAGATGAAATTCCAAGTAAGGCCATACAGCCTCAAAAGGATCAGATGTCAGAGGATGAGTCCTTTAGTAGAGTAATTTCAGTTCAGAGATCAGAGGACAAACACAAGCAGGGGTCTGGTGATGTTCAGTGCATCATAACTGAGGTTCTGCCAGAAAGGGGTGTTGTGGAGAGAGAGAAGGTCCAGGTTGACAGTGACATTAAAGCAACAATTTGTAAACCAATACATGCTATTCCTTTTGGAAGCAAAGAAATTCTTTCAGGTGCAAGAAGTGATACCACTGAACAAAGAGAAGAAGAAAATGTACCTGTAGAAACATCTGAGGAGTTGCCAGACCAATCTAGTCATCAAATGTTTAGTCAACTAGTGGATTATCAGGGAGATGCATATCAAGAAGCTACTAATAAGCAGGAAGAACAGCACGAAATAAGAGCAATTCCCAAAATGCAAAAATATGTCCCATGTGTCCGTACTCCTGTTGAAGACAGTGAAGATGATCAGTATACCCAGGAAAATCTTTCACATGTCCCTACCATTCAGAAGACAGAGGAGCCAGACTTTTCAAGAGAGGAGCAGCACCCTGATGTTTATGAAGATCTTCCTGAGTCAATGGACTATGATGTGATTACGCAAGAAGAACTATTGCAAGATGAAATATCATCTCAATTCACACATGAGGAGCTACTATTTGAAGACAGGGACTCTTTTGAGCATGTTGGTGATAATTATGAATTTGTTAATGAGCCAGAGCAAAGAACACCTATTGAGCTTGAAGATTCAGGCTTTGTGGTGATGTATCCTGAAAAATCAGCAACAAACATTCCTCAAGTTGAGAGCCCACAAAGAGAACTGAAGAAAGTGCAAGCGGACACATATTGTTACCACTGCAAATGCCCTATATCTGCTATTGACAAGCTTTTTGGAGAACATAAAGACCATGAAGTCACAACACTAGATGATGCTGCAACCAAGATGAAGGTAAGAATTAATGTGGCTGAGGGAAGGAGCTACTGAAGCCAATTTTTCCAGACCTCCTGTGTTGTCAGGGGAGAGGCTTCAGAGAGCAGTCCAGAGGCTAAATCACAGTATCTATAAAATAAAAACTATTCCTAAACACCTGTTAGAGATATTGAAGGAAGACTATCTTATTAAGGTATTCTCTAGAGTTCTAGGCTTGCTAAGCTGATATTTTTAGTTGTTCATAGGTTTGAATGACCTTGTTTGTATGTAGCTCTTACCAGACTTTCCATCTGTTAGCCTGCTCACCTGTATAAGTTTGTTCTGGTTTGTATGCGTAGGGGAAGAAATGGGAAGAGTATTGTTTCTGTGGAAAGAAAATTTTAGTAACAGCAGCTCATTTCACTTAACAAGGTATAGAAACCTCCATATGTGGGGACCAGTATCATCGTAAATTGTTCCCCATCTCAGTTACGTTTTTTTGCTTGCTTGGAGATGTTAGACTAGTTGTACAGTTTACACTAACAGTTTTGTTGAAACTTCATTTTCTGTTCAGTTCATGCTCATCTGTCCCAGTAGTGTTTTAGCTGTAGCGCAGGTCAGAGTTTAGCAAGTCCTACTTCTTCCCACTATCTCTAAGTTGTAGCACTCAAAAAGATAGATAAAAATACCCTCCATTTCAGTAGCCTAGTCCTTTGTGACCAGTACTAGTGAAAATGTTTTTGTTTCTGTAGAAGCTATTCTTCATTAAATTGCAGTTCTGCTTGTGAAAACAGTATGCATGTGATGTCTCACTTTTACCATATCAGATTTGTTCATGTAGAAGTATACAGATGTTCCTTCCTTGTTTACCAGCTCTTTAATCTCACCCCAGTATCTCAAAGGTGAGGTCTCTTTCCTGGCACATGTTCAGTTGATGGTAATACAGATTTTGTGTAATTTCATTAAAATTCTAGAAGGGCTTGTATCAACAGTATTTACATTATCTTTATGTTAACTCATATGCAAGAAAGATAAATTAAAAATAGGAGGAGTCAATGTGGCAGTTTCAAGTATCAGTATTTACAACTTATGTCCATGATGTGCAAATGTATGACAACAGAGTTACTTTTTATATATGGCCATTGATGCTTGACTTAGAAGTGACAATTAGCCACCAGTAAGTCAGTAATAAAGTCACAGACCCCAGCCATGCCTCGAATGTACCTACGTTACAGCGAGTCAAGTTAAGGCGCAAATAAACGTCCCATGATATCACTCCCTGGCTGTGGAGCATGGACATGAAGCCAGTATTAAATCTGGCCACAACACACGCTTGGCTTCACATGATTTCTAGCACTTAGGACTCAGGTTACTCTGAAATGGCATTTGTATGTTTCTTGTTACTTCTGTATAATTGCTGAGAAAACATTAAGATAGGAAAATGCTTGTTGCCTGAATTTTAACTGTAGGAACATAGCTTCATGTAAATTAAATAAGCTATGGGTGGCATCTGTCTGATTTTATAGGTTATCTTGACAAACAGAAGTTTGCCTCTGAATCCTGGTGATTGGCCCTAAATATTTATAAAGTGAGCCTTCAATTGTACAGTTCAATGTGACATTTATAATGAATGGAAAGACATATGCTAGTTTTCAACAGATCTAGCTGTAGACATTTGCCATAATAGGAACCTGTTAACAAAGGAAGTTAACCTTCCTTTTAAATTTATGCCAGCTAATTAAAACTAAATATTTTTATAAATTATAAATTGCACCTGAGCAGATGGCCAGCTTGCTTTCACAAAAGGTCAGCAAGGACTAAGAAAAAGTTCTGAGTTGTCTGAGTTGCCTGTTGTCCCTTGGACTACTTTTGTTTCTGCATCTAATTCAACCAGTGATTTTGATGAATTCTGGTTTATAGGAAATATCTTTAAAATTCTAATTAAAAAATCACAACACTGCATAATCTGTTAGCCTCATAATTATCTGCCTTGCTTTATTTTTTATGGGCTTGTTCCTGCAGTTTCTCAAGGACCCTCATGATGCTCTGAATACCCTCAGTCTCTAGTAAAACTGCACTAGAGTTTGTAGTGTTCAACAACCTGTAGAGACACTCAGCTACTTGTTGAACTGAGCTCACTTTTTTTGCTTTGGAAACAGTTTTGTGACCATTCCAATTGCTATTTCTGTGCTTGTCTTTGTAGCCAGGGAGATACTTGAACTTAATTTAGCAGTAGCTCAATGGTGGCTTATGGCAAAACAAAAATATTCACCTAAAATAAGCTGTATGCAAAATCTTTATAAAATAACATACTTATGTTACTGAAACATTTTAAATTTCAGGATCACTTAGGTGAATTGCTAATAGCAGTGGAAGAAAAGTCGATGAAGATTGAAGAGTTTGTGAGTGATATTGAATCACTATTTAACTCTGTTGAGGTAAGCCTAGTGTTTTATTGCATTAGTTTTCTTTCCCCCTACAAAATTACTTCTAAGATATGCTTGCCTTGTTTTGTAGCATCATTGTGTTGTGGTTTAGCCCCAGCTGGCAGCTAAGCACCATGTGGCTGCTTGCTCACTCCTCCCCCCACCCCCCTCCCTGGTGGGATGGGGAGGAGAATCAGAAGAAAAAGGTAAAACTCATGGGTTGGGATCAGAACAGTTTAATAGGACAGCAAAGGAAGAGGAAAATAACAACAGTGCTTATAAAAGAATATACAAAGCAGGTGATACACAGTGCAATTTGCTCATCGCCTGAAACCCAATGTCCAGCCTGTCCCCAAGCAGCGATGATTCCTCCCTGGCCAGCTCCCCCCTTGTATACTGAGCATGACATTGTGTTATCAAATATCCCTTTGGCTAGTTTGGGTCACCTGCTCTGGCTATGTCCCCTCCCAGCTTATTGTGAAAATTAACTGTATCCCAGCTGAAAACCAGGACACATTGATTCCACTAAGCTCCCACAGGAAGGTGTTAACTTTAGGGGAAGACAAAGATTGCTTTTTTTGCACATTATTGCAAAGTGGAATATGTGACTGTCAAGCACTGGAGGAAAAAGTTCCCTTAATTCTGTTTATGCTTATAAAAAACTCAAACTGTTTGTGTGTTTATTTAGAATCCAGTGTGAAGCAGCTAAACTAGTTGCCCAATGTCGTAACTTCTTATTGCCTAAGTTCTTAAGGCCCTCTCAGTCTTGAGGACTGCATTAATTTCAGTTGAAAGTATGGATATTTATCTATGTTGTAGTCATACTTCCTGTCTCAATGCTTAAATATAGAAGTTTACAATTAAACATGGTAAAAAAAAAAATCTACCATTGTTTTTAATGTATTTCTCTAGCGCTATTTCTCCCAGATGAGCTTGCTTACAAAAATAAAGCTCTCTTATTCTCAGGATGACAGAAGGAGTCTGGTGGATGGCTCATGTATGGGTAATTGAGTTTCTGTGTATTCATAAAATGTTATAATTTTATTCAGCAGATCAATTTACATCTGTTTTTACTTTGCAGGAAAACTGTAAGAAAAATGCAGAGTTATTGGAAAAGCAGAACGAAGAGATGCTTAAGAAAGTGGTGGCACAATATGATGAGAAATCAGATAACTTTGAGGAAGTGAAGAAGATGAAAATGGAGTACCTGTATGAGCAGATGGTTAACTTCCAGCAAACTGTTGATTCAGCGAAGGAAACTTTGGAGACAACAGTAAAAGAAATGGAAGAACTTGAAGGATTTGTTTTCCTAAATGTAAGTAAAAATGGCTTTCATATTGTAGTTTTTATGATACTAGTTAGGAAAGCACTTACACAGTACCTAGGCTGAGAATGAGTTATTTACCTTCCTTTTTTCTTTTTTTTTTTAAGATAGCTAAATCCTGCAAGCTCAGCTATTCCACTCTGAAACTGCTAGATCATTGCTTTTGTCATGTGAATGCTCAGAGAGAATTGCAAAGATGATGCATAGGATGAAAACATGTCTTATGACATTAAAATAGTTCTGTTTTGTTTTGTGAAGAGGAGGCCAAGAGTCACTTTGTCTAGAATTAATTATTCACTGAGGAGTAAGAATTTTATAGTAAAAGGTACTTTACTGTATGAAAAATAAAGGTGAAACAAGAAAGTGTAACTGAAAATTATCTGTACCAGAAACAGAGTTGTTCTTGAGTTATGAGGTTGTTCTTTTGTTTTGTTGTTTTGTTTTTTTTTAATGAGCAGACACAGACAGTAGTTACACATTCAGATTACTGAGGCACGATAAATGTTTACTGCTGTGTGGTGCTTAGTTGCTGGCCAGGGTTAACCCACAGCAATTGGCTTAGGTGTAGGAACGTGCATGTGAGGTGCATGTCTGTAATCGTCCTTTCTGGGTGTAAAAAACATCCCTTGTGACTCTGCATGACGTGAGTTACCTAGCTCATACAGTTGTCAGTTGTAAGCTGGTGTCAGAGGGTCTTGCAGGTTAATCATTAATGGCCTGGGTCCCTCAACATTGTTCTTGTGCTGCAAGACTTGTCCATAAGTGAGCTGTGATGCTTTCTCCTTTATAGAAGTGTATAAGCAGTCTTGAAGCAGGTGGGATTTCTGGGACAATGATCTTGTACTGTTATGGAATTAGCATATAGTCTGGAAGTTGCAGAGAAACTATGCTGGGATGCAAGAAATGAAAAGTTCAAATTACTGTCTAAAGACTGATCATTTGTAAAACAGCTTTCCAAATACAAGCCCCCAGTCGATTTATCGGCATTTATGGAAATGGTGGAGTAATACTTGGCTTTCTCCCCTGCTCCAAGCTATGCAATGTCTTAATATCCTGTAACCAAGTGAATGCCATAGGAGATTGGCCATTTTGGGGCGAATGAGAAATATATCTTATTTTCCTGAACTTTGTGAGTTGCTGGATCAGTGCTTTGGCAAAAAGATAACTTTGTTAGCTGAAATTCTTTTGTGGGGTGGGAAAATTATTAGAATCCCTGCCCCTTTCTGTTAGCGATAGAGGACAGGAACTTTTCTGTCCACAAGTCAGGAAAAGTTAGCTGAAGATTCATGGAGTATGCGAGAAACTCTCACTCCACAAGTACAAATCTCACACAGTTTCTAGTAACCAGAAGTTATTAAGGAGATTTCAGCCCGAATTTGGATTTAAGTGTTCTTAATGTGTAAGTGGTTTCTTTCTGTAAAAGCATTGGTTTAAGGAAGTATCTGACTGTGCTCTGGTCTTTAAACCTGGATATTGAAAACTGACCCCTCAGGTGTTTAAAACCAGATTGAGACTCTAATAGCCTGCTGAGCCAGAGCTTTGAAGTAGAATATTCTTAAGGAACCAATTCTGCTGGTGTGAATGAGCAGTATCTCAGATGACATCAAGTCAATAAAGCTCTATGTATTTTATGTCTGTGGAGAATAGCAAGGCTGTTAGATGAATGTCTCTTCACCATTTTCAGGGTTTTGAAAACTGTTAAATTTGTTTCTTTTTTCCCTCCTTTAGTCATCTAAAGAATTGAATAAAAGGTATGAACTATGGTTTAAGTGCACCTTAGTGATTACTGTGCCTGGCATTCTGGATGCTTCATTTAGTATTTGCAAGCTTTGAAAACACGCTGCTAATATTCACAGCTACTTTTATAAACCTTGAAATAATGAAATTATGAGAAGAGGTTTTATACTTGTTGCTGTAACTGACTAGTTTTGAAGTGTTTTCCACATGTTCTGTAATACATCAATTAAACAAGTAGCGTTTTAAAATGTCAGTTCAATTTTAAATCTATCTCCACACAGACATTTTTAAACAGATGTTCCTTGTAGTAGTTACTATACACACATATACTAAAAAAACATTTTGACCATGCTTCCATCTCTTAGTCATCACTGGTATGTTCTTTTTTCACTAGTCCTGTTCTGTATTACTTGGTCTCTGCAAGGTTATAATGCAAAGTGTCACTCACATGGCTGGAGTTGTTGGGCTATCCTTCTGAACACAATTCCAGAAAAAAATGAGATTAAGTAGCTTTCAAAAGCTTTCCAGGAGACTATGGGCTGATGTTTTCCCATACCTTTTCATTGGTACTACCTGATTCAGGATGTGCTAGAGGGCTGTTGCCTCATCACAGCTGCATCCTGGCCTGCCTGCACATATCAGTAAATATACGCAGTTGGAAACAGTTCTCTGCCATGTGTGATTTTCTCAAGGGAGTCATTTTGGTGAGACCCAGCCTTTATAGGAGAAGTGTTCAATTATAAGCCTATGTTCCCCCAATGAATTTTCCAAGGTGAACAATAAATATTCAGACAGGCTGGCTGCAGGCTTCTCTTATGCAAGCCCCCAAACCTGCTTTGCCCACACCACCACCACTGACTTTGCCCAAAGGGCCTGGGTGTTGCGTGGTGCACAACAAACATACCCTTGTCAGTGCTGCCTCAGCCATCACAGCGATACACGTGCTGATGTATAACAATGACATGAGGGTTCCAATTGGTGGTCAAATTCCAACCACAGGAGAGTGGTCTGAAGTGAATGTTCCAAACAGCCCTTCATGGTTCCCATTAATCTGCAGAATTAGGACTAAACACTTGTACTCCCCCATTCTAAGTCAAAATGTGACAGTCTGGCCATATGTATCTGCATGTAGTTTATTGCATAAGAATAGAGCAGGTATAATGTGATGAAATGATTTTCCAAGGCTTTCTTTGGTCTTTATTTGTTAACTTATGCACTAAATGTAGAGTTTATTCTGCTGTATGCATGAGTTTGGTTATTACTTTGATAACACCTGAAAAAGGTTAAGAACATGTCTATATAACAATGCCTGTTTTTCTAAAGAAAATAAGTTTTTTATTTGTTGTGCTTTGTTAAGATTATACATAATTAACTACTTTGGTGACTGAAAAAAAGAAGGGGAGAAAGGTAAAATTCAGTTTCCTTGGAAAAAAAAAACAACTTTCATTTCCTTGAAGCTACTTCTACCTCAGAGTTAAAGTATGTTGGGTTTTTTCCTATAATGAACTCAGCAAATATGGACTAATTAAGTGGAATCCATCTTCCTCTTCATGTTTGTTTTTGGGGTTTTTTTGCTTGCCACAAGCAGCTGCTTTACATTACATCTCTGGAGTCAGCTGCTGTAGTTTATCTCTAAGGTTTGTAACCTTTAAAGGCACTGCGTTAGTAAGTCTGAATCCCAGTGCTTTTGGGAGTCTTGCTATGAACTTCAAATCCTTATGTGTCAAGTGTATACAGACCATGTGCATTCTCTCTGCACTCCTGATCTGAAATCACAGTATGCTCTAAATGTTCAAAATCAGGGAAACAGCTTCTCCTTGCATGTTGTCCACAAGTTCATGGGAAATACTTAAAGAAACATACATTGCATGGTCTTTTCTTCTGGCCTTTGGCAACTATGTGGTGTCACAAGGTATTTTTACAGCTATGTGCTTTTTTTCCAAATAGGTTACTTTCTGCAATGGATACTACTCTGTCTTTAGAAAAGGTGCCCAGTGCTTTTTCACTGTTCGAGCACTATGCAGACAGTCCAGGACAAAGCAACCAGCACTCCTTAAAACATGTGGCTGGTAAGCATCTCTGAATATTGTCTTTACAAAATCTAACATTTTGGCAATGCTTTGGAAATCTTACGAAGCTAAAAACAGAATCTATTTGAGAAGTATAAATTTGCAAACCATGTAATTAGCAATCAGAGTTGAATGTAAAATGAAGTCTAATTGTGCACAAGTGTTTGGCTTATAGTAGGACACTAAGATGAGCAACAGAGGGAAAAATGCTGAAGTGGGGGATTCTTGCATCATTTAATATATCCATACCTCAGACTAGCAGAAGGTCTCTATCTGTAAATCTCCCAGGGCTAAAGAAGTTGCTGTTCTCTTGCAGGCAGGGACAGAGAAGAGGCAATCAAAGGATCTCCTGAACTCTCCTCCTCCCAGAGGGGCAGCTCCAGCATTGCTGGTGTGGGGAGGAGAGCAGGGGGCCGGCTGACGGCCACGGTCCCTGGGCTTGTGCCACATGAACAGTGGCACCTGAAACCCCCATGGGACATGAAGGGAAAGTGCTTAGCTGTAGCTGGAAACAGCCTTTGCTTCAAAGGGCAGTGGTGAAAATTACACATGATATAGGGGTTTATTCATCTCTATTTGATATTTCATATCCTGTAAGTTGCCTGCCTGTTTGGGCTTTCTGCTCTGCCCATACATATACCTATAGAAATTATCTGGATCTGGACAGATGTCAATCAAGAGTTTGCCAGCACCACTTTGTGGATTCATTTTCCTCGAATGGGGTCTCACTCCAGTGTTTCTTTCTCAAAAGAAGGTTTGGTTTGGGATCTTGCATCTCACTGTCATGCTTTGTGATCTCCCATTCACCATCACGCACACCGCCACCGTTGTAGTCACTCTCTGGCTTTTCAAGTAATGCCTCTTTCTCACGTGTTTGGTCGCTGAGCACTGGAACTAGAGCATTGATTTCCCTAAGATACAGGGGTGTGGAGCAGAGAGACTGCTGTGTCACTGTGAGGAGATTGTCACTCTCGTCCACACTCCTACTTTTATTAGACCTAGAGGAGCTGAGTATCTCTGACAAGGAAGTTAAGGTCTCAGATTTCTATGAATTTGCTTGTGGCATTCAAAACTTCTCAGGTAAGGTTGGACAGCCTCATTTCTTTAGGAAGTCAGATGAAAAGATCTTTTTTGTAACCCACTCTCAGCCGTAGTTAACTTAGTTGTGCAAATGTGCTATGTATCTTGATTTAGTTCTTAAACTCCCTCTTGCCATCCCATGGGTGCAACCATTCTTTCTTCCTGGGCTGCTACCTACTGGCAAGGTCATCCAGGAGGACAGACCCATTTTGTCATTTCCTTTTACCACAAGTCACTTCAACATGTTTTTCCCCAAACTGCTCAGATCCACTTGTCCATTTAATTTGCATTAGCTAGTGTGTTTGCTGAACACCAAATGGCTCCAGGCTAGTTTGCTTTGGCAAACTGGAAATGAATGACTGGCCACTAGCAAGTGACCTTCCAATCTCCTCATTCTTTTTCCTTTCTTCTTTTCTCATTCTAAAATACCTGGTTTTCATTCTTCACTTCCACTACCGAGTATTTCAGTTGTTATTGTGATTTTTACTTTGGTGATCAGTAAAGAAAATTTTTTTTTTTTCCAAGATTACACCCTTCCTGAAGGAAAATAGAGGTAAACGCCTACATGAAACTTTACTTGGAATTGAACACCTCGAGTATATCATTTATCACATACTGGAGTCAAATGTCAGACACACTCTGATTTTTTTTTTTTTTTTTTTTGGACTGAAGCTGTTTGATGAAATACATGTGAATTTGCCATGTTTCTCCAGTTCACATATAGAATAATAGAATCAAAGAATGGTTTGGGTTGGAAGGGACCTAAAGATTGCCTAGTTCCAACTCCTCTGCCATGGAGGGACACCCCCCACTAGACCAGTTTGCCTAAAGCCCCATCCAAC